ATATATAAGGGGAGAAAAGGAAAAAAAAAAGAATAATAAAACAAAATTAATATGTCTTAAGAAAAAAAGGAAACAAAAAATAAAAACGCGAACGCACGCTCTCCATTTACACCACTTATAAATATGCAGAAAAATGGAGAATAAAAATTAGGGGAAATCAAATAAATCGAAACCCTAGAGGGAGAAAGTGAGAAGGAGAAGAAGAAGATGGTTTTCTATTTCAAGGCCCGGCCCGAGGCTGGAGACTACACCATCTTCATGGGAATAGACAAGTACGAAAACGAGGAGCTTATCAAATACGGCTTCCCTGAAGATATCTGGTACTTCTCGTCATTTTTTTTTCCGGTCAAATTTTCCGATTATCTTCAATTGGGTTGTGTTATATCCAATTAGGCGTTTTATTGGCAAATGCGTGATTTTCACGCTGTTGAAAATAAAAAAGATGTGGCCTTTATGGCAAACGAATGTGGTTTCTTCTAAATAGGAAAAAATCTCTTAGAAGAGAGCTTTCAGTGCTTTGTATGTCTGAGTAACGCTTACCGGAGTGGAATATTATTCCTTGGGTGACTAAATTTTGATGGCTTTTGAGTAGAATTTGATGTCGTTGTTCTTATTTTTTCAATCAGGTGGTGTTATATCCAATTGGGTGTTTTGTTCTAGTTGATCTTTATCTTAGTTAGCAAACGTGTGATTTTCATGCTGTTTACGGAAGGAGAATAGGGTAGAAAATAAATAAAAAGATGCTGCCTTTATGACAAACTCTAATCTTCGATGCTCTGTATGTCTGAGTTACAAATTTCTGGGAAAGAATTTTTTTTTTCTTTGGAGACACTGTGTGATGGCTTTGGAATAGGATTTGATGTGGTTTTCTTACTGTGGTTGCTTATAGGAATTTATATATTCACTCGGAATGTTTTTAACTCTCGAGCTAACATTCTAAACTTGAGTTTTCAACAAAGATCGAAGTAACAAACTGAAATGCATCTGCAGATATTGTGATTCCGACCTGGCTTTTTTTTTTCTGAACTAGAAATGAATTGAGTTAAGCCTAAAATCTCAGTGTCTGTAGTAATTTAACTTGATAATCGTAATTTAGTTTTCGTAATTGTAGATAAATTGTCGCGCGATGGGATGAGTGCGTATAAAATTGTTTTTTCTTTTGCGTCCATTGACATAT